TAATGTGTAAGTGCTATAATACTAATATTGCTTTAGAATTAATTGAAACTCCACTGACCATCAATTTGCTCACCTAACAAGAGTTTTGGAAGCCCCTCAGTTTACACATCCATAGAAAACAGCCATATAAAATCATTCAGTCACATTAATGTAGGGTACACAAGTCATTGTAAACACATGACACTGAAATACGCAACTTAAACTTTCCAAGTTTTCCTGAATAAGAAGGGAACGAGCTAATAAAAAGTTTTTGCTAATGTGTTTGCTAATCACCTTACTGTATTTACAATAGCTGCTTCTTATTTTTTACCCTTTTTAAATACAGTATGGACCCTTTTTAACATTTAAAAGGGATTACTTGTTAAATTTTGTGCTTTTCTTTGCCAGGCATTGATTATCTGCACCTGTCTGGCCGCTATTAGTCACCCTGGGAGTGAATCTCTCTTTTCCAGTTGACATTGATTCGGTTACAGCATGAGGTAGCCGTACTGCTAACAGCTGTCAATGGCAGCCATAATAGTGATATCGAAATGTGGACTCGATGATGAAGCTAAGCGTGGTTCGGGTGCGATTCAGAGGGTGGAGCGCGCGCCCGATGTTGCTGTGACGCAACCCTGGTGGTATCACGGACTGTCAGGCCCTGCGGAGGACAGGACATGCCTGGACGCCGTTTCATCAGCGCCGTGAGACACCTCGCTCTCGTACAGCGGTGTAAATCAGCTTCCAGTGACCTGGATTAGCCCACGAGCTCCTTTCACAGCGAGGAAGGGGAACCAATTAGTCAGAAGCAGTTGTTAGGCTGGAGAGAGCTTAATTGACTCTGTTCATGCTTCTTTTAAAAAACGTTTTATCTGCCGTCACTTATTCCATTTCTCACCTGTAGCGTCTGCGTGTGTTCTCCCACAAAATGTTTTCATTGCTCTTAAGTGACCGCTAATTTACCAAAACCTCCCCATGTGAAAAGAAGCCCCTTCAAAATACGAAGAAAGAGCTGATTTTATTCAAGGGTGTAATTTAAAAGAGATTTGACTCCATCTCCAGCCCATTCTGTGGCCTCTTTTTAAAATCACACTTTTTAAGCTCAAATCTGCAGCACGATTTCACGATTCGAATGCCCTTGATTAGATGAAAGGTGGTCGTGCAGCACTTAAACTTAAATATCGCTCTTACTTCAGTGATTGAACAGATTTTGAGCGATGCCTTTGTAACATTGTAACATTGTAACAGCTAAGTCAACAACACTGGACTATCATATAGTGAATTACGTGATAAGCTGGGATTCATAAAGCACAAGCAACAAGTTTAACTCTTAATTTGTGATTTGTATCTTCTCCTCTTTTTAATTTCCTGTTTTTAATGGGTTGAATTGACTCATGCCTCCATACGAAGCACTGAGTGTCTAATAATGTTGTTTCGGTTTGCACGAACCACCCCCTCCACACACACACATTTACACTTCTCACGACTTATTCAGCCTCCTTCTGTTGAGGCTGCGGGCTGCATCGTTATCGCAGACTGATCCAAACTGTGCCTTTCCACTCACTTCATTTTGGCAAACAACCGGGCTACAATAATTGGAGCACCGTGAGATGGATTGGGGCTGAGATGAAAATAGGGGGCTTTAAATCATGCAAGTCATTTATCTGTGCGGCGAATAGAACACTGTTCCATCTCTGTCGTCTCTTTTATCACCGCTCCTCACTCGACGGTGTCCGTGAATTGGTCCGTCTGCAAAGAGACCGAGAATCCAATTACGTTCTCAGGAGCCGTTCCAAAAGCCCCAGACGTGTTGAACGCTAGTCTCTGAATTTTATTTTCCTCTGACAGGGCTTGTGACAACTCCCTTGGGTGGGTAAAACAGATGAGGACAGTTTTTGCAGTTAGTTGTTGCTCTTTTGGGTGTTTTTTCCCTCTTTTTTTAGCTTTTATCATTAGTGCGAGTGAGATGAAGTGGACGTTTAGGCAGTTTTCTCCAGATGATGCCTCGAATTTGGCAGATTTGACACACTGGATATAAGAGAAAGGGAAACAGCCATCCGGTAGTAGGGTACTCAATCTAATCTAGCTTGTTTCACTTTGCAGGTTTTTGAGAAATAATACCTCGAGTAGATTTTTCCCCGGGTAAATGACTGCTGAAACAAGCACTTTTGTCAGAGATGTGGAAGCGCTCTCCGACATGCTTGTACTGTTAATAATAGAGAGGCTGCGTGTGGGTGGGCTGAAATGCAATCATCACTGTGTTTGTCTGATGCAGTGAGAGCAGACAAAAGTGCTGTCAGAGGCAACGCATTGAGATTCGCCATTGGAAAGGGAGACGCTCTCTGCCGTTATTGTCGTTAGTAGCCTTGGTCCTAGAACATAATGTCTGATTCCTTGACGCGCGCTGGCTCTACCTGTCAAACTGTCACGCTGCTGTCGCCTTTTTTTTGACCAGTTTTCACAGGAATCAAAATCATTTGATCCCCTTCAGCCGTTTCCCTAAAAGTGATGAATGTGTTTTACCCTTTTCGTGTCATCACAGCTTCTTTTGTAAGCCTATGCTTCTTTAGCGGGCATGCAGTCTACTCTAATGTCAGCAATGTCCTGTAGATCTGAACTATGATAGCTACTCTAATGTTTAATTTAAATGCATGCATTTTCCAGATGCACGGAGCTGCTTTTGATACAGCTCAGGGGTTTCTATTTTTACCTTTCGTTTTTCAGAGCTTTAAATTTTGCATTGTGCGTTTTGAGCATCTGCTGCTTTAGTTATTTTCTTCTAGGCTAGGCTAGACATCCGCAGCCAAGCTTTAACGTTTGTCTGTGATGTAGCTTCAAATGCAGTGACGAAGGACTTGATGGTGTGAGATATGATAAGTTCCTGCCAGACGACTGTGGATATGTTGGGAGAGGTGAGCTTAAAAAAAATACACCCTGGTACTCCCTCTCAGGTGCTCTGGGCCGTTTCCTCCTTCTGCTCACCTTCTCCACTCTCAGCCCCTCCCTCTGACTTGGCCGTATCTGACTCAGCAGTGCCTCTGGAGGCGGTTCCCGGCGATGCAGCGCCACGGAGGCTTCCATCAGGGGTCGCAGCTGCGAGCGAGTGAGGATTAGAGATGGGGCTCAAGGCAGAGTCAGGGGTTTGGCTGGCGCTGAGGTCGCCATCAGGGACCACAGTGGCCTCCAAGCCCTCGGAGCGCGATCCTTCAGAGATGGCTGGAGGGGAAGCGGCATTCAGCAGGGGCTTGTGGGAAGCGTAGGTCATCGCAGCATCCGTGTCGCTGTCCAGTGGGAGGCCAGAGCTGGTGAACTCGACTCCGGAGTCGCTCATCTCCAAAAAGTTATCTGAGTCGAGAGTGTGGTAGCGGCCCGGTTTGGACACCTCGAGGCCCTGCATAAAAAGAGGCAGAAGGAGATGAAAGGCAAGCTAAATATACAATTCAGAAGAGTAAGATGAAAGGAAAGATAAAGGAGGAATGGAAAAGTAAAAGAGGAGAAAGTAGGACCCAACAAAAGATGAAAGTAAGACAAAGTAAAGTTTAAAAAAACAACAACTACAAAGTAGAGAGGCGATACAGCAAAAGAAAGCAAGGTAGAATGATAAAGAGGAAAAATATTATACAGGGACAGAGGGCTGAGATGAAAAAAACAAAAGAAGCAGGAGTCGAAGCGAGTACAAAACAGATACCCCCAACAGGGCGTAGGAGATGAAGGAAGGAGGTGATATAGGATCGAAGAACGGAAGAAAAACAAGTGGTTAAAATTTAGGTCAGAGGAAAAAAGTGAATAATTTATGTACATTTCTCCAACTGTATTTATAGACTTACCTCACCATCTCCTGCAGCCATCCCTACTCTTATGTTACATGGACACAAACAAAGAGGTGCAGCAAAATGATAAAGAAAACACCCGAATAGATCAAATCAGAGTTATACTAAATGTTTGGCCTGTAAGATGTGGGCTAGAAATCACATTTTCATTGTTGTTGTTCGTGAGATTCAAAGCTGTTGTCACATGCATGTTGATATAAGACAACACAACTCAATTTAACATTAACTGTAAGACACGTTTGTAACAAAAAGACTAAATTTAATTTAAATTTTATCCAGATGCTGCTGCGTTCTTTGATTTTTGAAACAACAAATTTAGAAAAGAACTGTAGTTTTATTGTGTTATTCCACGTTGGAGAGCAAGAAGTCCTGCGGGAGCTTTAATCAGCCGTTTTAAAGGACTCCCTGAACCTTGACCACTTCACTTTCTTTACTCCTTTATTGCAGTTATAAACTTGAGTCTAATTTGTTCCACTGCCGAGTGCAGCGTGTAAGGTCGATTGCATTTTAATTACTCTTGGCACTGAGGTGACATTTAATAGCAGGTAGTTTCTGAGCAATCTCAAACGCAAAGATGGGCAATGATGTTTCTGTCTTTAAATCTTTTTTAATCTTTTTTTAATTAATATATTACTTTGAGCGCAAACTTTTTCCAAAAGTACACCAGGTGTTGGACATTATTAAGCTTCAGATTGTTCTCATAATCGAGATCAAGACTTCAGTCTCAGACGATATCGCTCTAATCGTTCTTGTATCTACAGCTCTTATCACTAACAATTATGTAACCTATACAAGCTGATGGTGAAACTCTTCTTCTGTTGACCTATTAGCCTGATTTTCACACCAGAACCAAACAACATCGCACAAAGATAAGAAGCTGGAGCCCAAAAATGCTTATTCATCTGGCTACACACCAGTATTCTTATTATCCTTTTGTCAGGATCTGACGGCGCCCTGACCGGTCGACCTGCCAGTGTGTGTATATTTGTGTGCTTGTGTATGGCTGTATCCCAATTTAGGGTCTGCAGCCTTAAAGTATGCAGCCTCA